CTCACTTTCACTGAGAATTTGAAAATTTCCTGGGGTTTCCGAATTGTAATCTCTAGTAGGCTTCACCTTCCTTGTTCGAGAAATTGGCGAAGCATATACAGTTGATCATGTCAGTGTCGACGTTTTCGAGCCCTGCGCCTGTCTCCGGCGTCGCTAATCCACCAGGATCATTCTCCGCCGCAATTGGCTGGAAACAACCGTACGCAATTTTGTCCCGACCTCAATCTTTACTAACCTTCTACACTTGATCGCTTTATCTTCATCACGTAATTACTCACCGTGTTTGGTGGTTTTTTGTTCCGGTGGGTTTTTCGACAGGTTGAGATTTCGGAGGACGAAGAAGCCTCGGGTCATTTCTTGCGATTATTCATGCCTCGAGGTGGGTTTCCAATTCATTACTCATTCTTTCTGTATCCCTCATTGAGCAGTATATTCCACTTCGGATTATAATCTGACTCTGGTCAGATAATTGTTCATTCGTTTGAGTAATGTTATTGATACAATTTGCAATTTTCATTTATATTCAAGGTTAGGGATGTTTGTTACCGTCCTCCTGGAACACAGTTGAATATATTAAATGGAGTTAATTTTTCCCTGCGCGAGAAAAGGTTAGAGATGGCTGTTTCCTTATGTCACTATTGGTTGTTCGTGGGATGCATTTTAAGTTCCTTCCATAAACTTTGATGTGCCATGTATAAACATGCTTACTAAAGAGTTTTTGTGTGTTTGATTAATTTTGCAGCTTTGGCTTGATCTTTGGGAAAAGTGGGAGCGGTAAAACTACCCTTTTGCAGGTCCGTTGTTTCACTAGCTCGTGTTTCATACACAGCTTTCCGGTGCTGTTCTTTGAGTTGCAGTCTTAGGAACTTTTGGGTTTTCTTCTCTTTTGTAGCTTCTTGCTGGCCTAAACAAACCAACATCAGGTTCTATTTGTATCCAAAGATATGAGGATGATGGCCAGCCAAAGGCGGTTCCTGAGTTGCTGCCCACTGAGAAGGTCGGTATTGTCTTCCAGTTTCCAGAGAGGTAATAGTCATTATCATCTTTTGTTTTATCTCATCAGGTTTTTTTTTAATACCTTTTCAAGTTTGTTGTTACTATGGAATTATGGAAGGCTAACTTGGTTGGTGCTGCTGTTTAAGTGACAAGAAAATATTGATTTGGTTTTTTTATTGTTGCGGCCAGATTCTTCGTTGCAGATAATGTGCTTGATGAAATTACTTTTGGTTGGCCAAGGCAAAAAGGTAGTTTGAAGTTAAAGGAGCATCTGACTTCAAACCTCCAGAGAGCATTTAATTGGGTATCCCACTCCTCTTGGTTCAGACAGTGGCTATATTGTGTCCAGTGGATCTGTCTTATTGTAGCTTTCTTCTTGAATCGTTAGGTTGGATTAGACAGCATCCCGCTTGATAAAGATCCCCAGTTACTTAGTGGAGGCTACAAGCGTAGGCTTGCACTAGCTATTCAATTGGTGAGAACAAAGATTTTGACGTATTCGAAAGTGACATAAAAAATAAAGAAAGAGGGTTTCATTTTTTTTTTTTTTTGTGATTTGTTCTAAGCATTCATGCCTATTGTAGGTTCAAACTCCAGATTTATTGATACTGGATGAGCCCCTCGCTGGTCTTGGTATGATCTGCATCCTGCTTCTTCTAATTCTTCGGTTATCTTACAATTTTTATATCCAGTTGTAGCAGCAGGAGCTTTATGTCCTCCTCTCCCAGAGTTTTCTGCTTCTCATTCTTTCAAGAA